GAGAGAGAGAGAGAGAGAGAGAGAGAGAGAGAGAGAGAGAGAGAGAGAGAGAGAGATTAATCGATGATTTTCAGATTTTCTTTTCAGAGAGAAAAAAATGCTGGTTTTTCTTTTCTTCAAACTATACGATAGATGCTATCCAAATCGAATGAATGGAAAAAATCGAAATGTTACACTTACCATGGATCTCTTGGATCGGGAAGACTACGATGAATTGAAATTAAATCGGATGCATATTGATTGAATGCATTTTTCATCCAGCCATCGTCGACCGATTTCTTCATTTCAGCTGACATATTTGTCGGAAGTATTACGGGCCTGCCCATTTCACCTGGTGCGTCTGGCGAATTCATCGCCGGTGGTATAAGTACACCTTTATCTAATCGAATAGGAAAAAACGCCATGTTACTCTCTCATTGCCGTTATTCTTATTCCAAAACAATTGCTGTAAGGAATATATGAATTGCTAATTGGGACAAATTCAACGGTTCGTCATTTGTTACAGCCCTACATCGAATTTACAATCTGTCTCTCTATTTATATGTTTGTAGCCCTGATAATGATAAGTATGGATTGGCAAAATAATTTATTTTGATTGATAGTTCAAACAAATCGCAAAATTTAATTTAAAGTTACGTGAAACTATCCTTATTTGGTGGAAAAAAAATGCATTTTAAAACGTTGCCGCTGGCTATATTTGTGCTGTGTCTTTGTTTAACCGAAGCATCAATAGATCATGAAAATTACATTCGTTCTTTGCTTCAAAATAATAAAATTGGCGATGCAAATGAACCGACACAAAAAACACATGATAAAACATCACACAAGCAGCATCATCGTTGGAAGCGACAGTTCGATTTTAACATAGATGCCGACCACGAAGAAGGCGTTGGAACCAACCTGATGGCATCAGCTAATTTCAATCTGTACAAAACGGCAAATACTCGATTGGATGGGACTGCACGCTACTCAAAGCATTACAGTGATTACGGCACCAATGGTAAAGCAAGAATTGGCGGTTCGCTGCATTTTCAAAAATTTTAATAGCACCAATGTTTGTATGATCTACTGACGCTTCAAACATTCACAGAAAATCACCATTCCTATAACTGCTTTGAAATGTCATTCAATTGCTAGGTGGAAGAGCAAACGATTGGAAAGTTGGCTTGGAATTCATTTTCGAATAGTTCGGATTACAACCTGAGCACATGAGGTATACATTTACATGAAGTGATGTTTCTTTCTATAAACCAACGCAATTTCGAACGAGTCTTATGAAATGTCAAATTGCGATTATCATATATATTTGGTCGTGGTGCTGTTGTCGAATACACTTCATAGTTCCTAATAAATTCATTTTTGTTAGCAAAAATATGTTCACTTGTTACGTTTTTTTTTCTGTGTTTGTACAATTTGTTTACACGCTTGAAAAGCATATACGTGAAAAATGGAAAGAAATTGCATTGTTGAATTGGAAGTATAGAAGAATGTTCAGTGATAAAATGCACTTAGTTATTCAAGTTTCGATATTCTTTTGTTCGGAATATTCTGTGTCAGAAAGAAATAAGGTGATAAGGAAATGATTCAACTATAGGAATTTATGACATCTACATATGACTCAAAAATTCTACGATAATCTTTGACTGTCGTTGATAACAGAGCACAAACGCAATCGTAATAACGCACTCAAACGCTTGAGCAAATTGATGTAACCTATTTATTTTGACTTACCATTATCATCAGATGCGGGCTTCTTAGCATCTCCTTTTTGACGTGCACTAAGTCTTTTATTCTTGCCAAATATATTGCTGTCATCGTTATCATTTAAATTACTATCCAAATTTTCATTATTGTTTAAATTGCTTAAAATCACATTATTGGCCACTGATTCATTTTTCTGATTTTCTCTATTTACAGAATTTTTGTTGAAGTTCAGTTCATTGTTGAAAAATCGATCGATATTTTCATTGATATTGTCTATGCTATTCTCATTATCATCAACATCATCAAACTCATTATTATTATTATCATTATTGTTATTCTCATTATTATATTTAAGTTCAAGACTGTGTGGCCCAGAGGCCACCATATTCGAAGTCCTTCGATCTTCCGAATAAATCAGAAATGCAATTGTAAACCAAACGGCTGATAGCAGTATTACGATTTTCACCACTGATGATCGACGTCGCCATAAAAACCCCATTTTTACAGTGTTACAGTGTAAATTTAACCGTTTTTATTGATAATATCGTTTGATGTAATTCTTTTTTGTGTTTATGTTGTGCAGCCTAATGTGTTCTAAATTTTCATTGAATTAATTGATTTTGGATTATTTGAATTGTTTTCCGCCCCTGTTTGAATTTGGTTCCAAGAAAAATGAATTCGGATTTTTCGTTTGCAACAAAGATATGTTCAAAGCATCATCATCCATCCGATGTCTCTTTCACTATCTTTTTTTTTCGGACGCTTGTCAATCGAACCAGTTTACATTTAACTCGTTCCTGTCGATAGTTGCTCGTTGCGCTCGACGTCGTGCAAGTTATCTTGAGTTACGCTTTTAGTACGACTTAATTTATGTGGTTATTACTTGTTGGTGGCTTTGTTTTGTATGTTGCATCGTGGACATTTTTTCTATGCTGCCATATATGGAGTGTTGTTAATGCGTTCAACATTGAATCTATTCAGACTTGCAACAAACATTCGACTATGCTCTGCACGGAATCCAGCCGATTATTTCACATTAGATACAGCCCAGGTAATATCTGCCGTAAATGATGAAACTAAAAGCGTTCCTCTCCAATCTTGAATTTCTCTCTGCTGTGGTCGCCTCATGCGGTAGTGTTCTTAGTCTATGGCAGTGTCATCACGAATAGTTAAAACTTCAATGGTTTCTGTGCAACGAAGACATTCTTGTTCAGCTATCTTTTACGACTATCGTGTGATTGTTTCTATGGATACAGTGAAGTACTATGCCAACAAACACTCTTAGATATGTTTCCTTCCTGAAATTAAAACCACCATTTAAACCAGATTAAATAAAGTTTCACAAAGTCCAATTTTCAAATCGCTTAAATTGCATTTGGAATTTGTATTGCTTTTCAAATTGTGTAGATTCAAAATGTTTTTTTCATCAACTTTTAGTTTAAATATTCGTTTAGCCCCTTATTCATGATATATTTATAAATCTTGGTTCGCAAGAACACTGCATTTTCATGTAGGCCATTTTCACGTTCACAAATAGATTTCATTACTATTTTCAATTTCGATTCATTTAACTGAGTTTATGGGTACAGCACTGATATTCATATAATAATATTCAAAGTCATATAACGATTACGTCTAACAATGTGCTTCAATAGTTGTGCATTGTCATACAATTAATTTTTTTTTTCAATTGTTTAGCACTTATTTAACCATGCAGTAACCATATTGCGAATCTGAAAATAGATTAAAAAAAATCATGTTTAAAGAGTCAGGTAATAAAGATAAAATTGGTTATAAATATATTTCTACGTCTTATGTGCAATGAAAATTTAGGTGCTGTTTTGCGTTTGGTCGCTCCTTCATTTAAATGTGAGATTTCTGTTTTATTCCGGGCATGGTATGGAGAAGTGATAACATTCCCGGTGATAACTCTCTAATTTTAAAAGGTTTCAATACAAGATAGTCGTCGCATCCTTAATGTATATGCACGAAAACGTAAGGTGCAAGGTTGGTCTTACTGCCGACAATTTGAATTTAAATGCTATAAATCAATCTATAGTTTCTTCTCTGTCTCAGTTCAAATGTTCGCTGTCAAGCACAGCATTCGGGATAAGAAAGCTGTTGATTCGTTCCTTACTTTGGGCTGAGAAGAAATCATGTTTCACTGACTTGACACGAAAGTTTCTATCCACTTAAGAATAGTTAAAGGTTCGCTGTTTTTCGCGAAACGAGGACATTTGCAAAGTTAGTGTTCTCGAATCTATAAGTTTTGTGCAGACGGAATCAAAAGTTGAAGAAAAAATTATTAGATTATTCACAACTACTTGTTGTTGTTGAACAAATGTAACCTCCTGTCAATTTCACCCATAGATTTTGCATTCCAAAATCCGAAAATTTTGTACATTGAAAAAGAGTATGAGTGATTAGAAAACCAAATGATTAACAAAAATCACAAATACACTATGAATAATTCAGAGGTTTGTGGGCTGTGAAATGCATTTAAAAATCTTGTGTAGACAATCGTAAGATTTTTATCAGCCACACCTTATGTATAGGCATCTTGATGGGTGTTGTGGCGAATCTAAATAGCTGTCGCACAATCGTACATAGCAGATAAAAATAGAGATGAACTAAGCTGCAATCGACTTTTGAAACATAAAAATAAATACATTCAATGAAAATCACAACAAGCCTATAGGCTAGCTTGAAATTGTTCAAGGAGTATTTGCATTCAAGACACGGGGCACTCATATGAAATGTATTTTGTATATATTATTTTAAAGAAAATATTTGATTTGAAAAAAAAAAAAATACTATTACGCCAATAATCTTATTGAGTGTGCGTATCATACAGCTAAAAGTCTACAAAAATAAAGCAAAAGTGGGTTTTTCCACTTTTGACTAAGGACAGATTGTTTTGAATATAATTCTTTTCGAGTTGATTTTGTTTATACAAATTTATATAAAGAACCACCACTTCAGGGAAATGTTTACACTAAAAGCACTGAACAACTCTTTGTATCTCTTTTGTTAGCCTTGAAAGCATTACATTGCTGGTTTTTTTTGTAGCAATCGGAGTTCTTCTTGGCATAATTAGAAATTGTTCCATATTATGTTGCCGTTCAAGTGCTGAAACACATCTGAAGCACAAAGATGACGGTTTATGGCAAACACAAGAGAGAAAAAACCAGTTGATGGATGAAACCTGTTTCATGTACTGCATGTACATTGTACGTATCTACATTGCACTTCATATTTTTATCATTATTTTAGTCTTTCCATTTGATCAAAATTCAAACTAAGATAAAAAAAAGATCTTGATAGTGAAAAATGTTATATATTTTTTTTCCTATTTTTACCTCCAATACCCACTTGGTTTCATCATTAGAAAAAAGTTGAAAACAATAACCGCATCGAATTGATGAAAAATTATGCTCGCGGGAGATGCTATCGATAAAACTGAAAGCATGAAGCGTCCACGCTCGCAAAATGGTATATTTGGTGAACGTTGAGTAATGTTTCAACACTCGCTGCTCATAGTCAAAACGATAAACCAATCGGAATTTTTTTTCATTTGTCATCCAGTCATTGGTATTTGTTTCTCTTTAGTTTTCTGCGGATTTTAGCTCTTTTTTTTTAAAGATTAACGTCAAATTATAAATACTACTAAAAGCAACTAACTGAAAATCAAATATCAAAATATCTGCTAATAATGACAATTTCTTTGAACATAAATCGTTGACATTTTTTTGTTCGTGTCCTATTTTGTTGTTGACATTTTTCTTTTGGTTGCTTTCTATCATTTGTCGGTTTTTGCTGTGCGCTTCCGTGTCTTTAATCGAAGATATCGTTTTATTTTTGCTGATCTTTGACTCCATGGATGCTTTCACTAAGGAAACAATTCAGAACGATTGAACAAAGACAACATTTTTCAATGCTTCTCCCACCATTTATCGTCGATAAGTGAGTGAATGGAACAACAATTTCAAATAATTGAATGGTAAATCGGTAACAATTAAAATCGACAAACTTCAAATTGAAGTTTATTCATTCATTGTATCCGTTTGAGAACAATTGAGTTTGTTTGATCGGAAACATTTGTAGTATTTATAGAAAGTGATGCACTTCTTGAACCATGTGTGAATAGCATCCCCAGAGAGTGAGAGAGATGACAAAGAAAATTTAGGACAAAAATCCGTTCAGTTTGAAATGCTGTTCAATGAAAATTATACAAATATATTTTGGCGCCAGTGTTCAGCCAAGTGTAAACTTGGAATAAATTTGAATGAAACCATTGGAAACAATGTTAAATAATATAATCACATAAGTAAACGGGAAGGCATTTCCTATAGCCAAAGTTTGATAAGTACATCGAATAGCCATCTTCGTAACAATAGTTTCTAATCGGAAATGAATGTATTCAACGAACAATTGTCGAAAAAAAACGGTGAGGTGAAATAATTTGCAAAATTAACCCATTACTTGGTCGGGGTAATCAATTAAAATCTGACCATCACATTTTTGCTTAGTTTGGAGGAGTTCGCCGTACAAAGGCCCGATCTGACAATGCAGAACTTATTTTTTTGGACTCTCATCACAAATATTTGAAAGTTTGGAACATTAAAAAAAAACAAACTTCATCGTGCAGAAGAAGCGTGCAACCGTGCTTCAAACGCGTGATGCTGCGGCCGACTCAAGTAAATTGGACAAGACAACAAAGAAGATTAAACGTTACCATGACGAATGAATAAAATCAAAACTGATCAACACTTCGAAAACAGCCTCATCTGCATAAATTCACGTTTTCATACGGAATGAGAGCTAACAATCGAAGAATTTATATTGATTTTAATGTTCGAATATTTGGGAAATATGAATAAACTTAAGGGGCAGATTCGAAAGCGAAAGCTTAATACCGTCGTTATGCCAATTGGGTCGAAGATAGAGTTCAGATGATCAAATTTTACATCAAAATTCAGCGAATATTGCTTTTGCCATGAATCAAACTCACTTCAAATATGTATATAAGTCTTTATTTTTGTTAGTTATATATATGTTTGCCGGATTTTCAGCCAGCATCAGCTGAGACGTTTTGATTTTGAAACTTTCGCGTTAAACTTTTTTATATTTATCCCAAAGTTGTTAACAAGTTCCACAATGCGTATATACAAATTTGTGTTTGTTGCACTATGAAAGTGAATAGCTAAAAAAGTATAATGGAAGAAGACAGTGAACATTTGAGAAACATGCACAAACACTGTTCGTCTTATATTTTGTAAACATGTCATTTCTATTTTCTGTTTATTGCTATGTATTTAGTTGTATTTGTGTCCATAATCGCATTTTTCCCCGTATAATTTCTCTGCGAATTCTTGAAAAGAAAAACTTCCTCGAAACTCAAGCGCTCTTTTCGAAATTGGCGTTCCATTCTGTATACGAAGCACGTTGAGAAGATACAATAACGTAGTGAGTGTGTTCAATTTAAAGTCAAGGCCATTTTAAAATAAATGAAGCAGAATAACCTACGAAGCAACCATTACCACACACACACACATGTGTAGCGCAGCACATAGCGAACTGGGCACTTGGAACGACAAGTAGAAGCAGACAATATAAAATACGATACTTGCATAACTGTTCTCTTGAAAGAACTCCAACGAATCAATTAAATTTTTTTCGGATGGATTTGTTTTCGCACAACGCATACATTGAACTTGTATTGGTACACCATACGTTTTTCGACCGTTCAAGTTCATTGGCATGAAATGCGGTTCAACTCTTGAGCGATATTTTTGTCTTCATTTTGTTCTTGGTTCATGTTTTTTTTTTCTTGAAGATACGTTTTTATTTGTAATCAAATGTTATTTCAATTTTTTTTTGTGTTTCGACAACCTAGCATACCTGCTGGTACATTGTGCATTACTGTATGTTGAAATTATGGTTTGCGGAACTAATTAAATATTGTGGCATAAAGTATGTTCAAATTGAGTATGGTTACCTTCCATTCATTCTATGGAAAACATCACTTACTCTCTTCATCGATTCACTTTTTTCGCAATGGAGATACATCAATTATTATCTATCAACTATTTCTATTAAGACTCTTATGCTCAGTGATTAAATAAAATGAAAATCAAATTCCAGCTGTTTAAATTTCAACATTTTACCATAATGTACCACCCACATGTTGAGTCGACTCTTTCTTTAATATGAATTCCATACTAAATTCGTGAAAAAAAAAATTGAGCTTTGCGCAAATTGAACCTAGGAAGAAAAAAAGCTCGCATTTTGCAACATCTCTGTTGAGATGATGATGATGATGCAGGTAAATGCGAAACAAGAGTTGTGCAAGTCACACACCGTTCATACACATCATTTGGTTATGGTTATGGTTATGTTTATGAAATTGAAGACTCTCACGCTTTATTGATGCTGAAAATAAAATTCGAATTGAAATCAAACTGGGCGCATGGCTACAGACATCCAGATGAAATATGCATACATGCATGTGTATTTGTGTGAGCTGTGCTGTTTCATTTTTCATTTGTTATTCTACTCTTTCCTTTGATTTTTTTTTCAACTTCTACCCAGTGTGTGCGTGTTTGGTGTGCACATTTCGTAACGCTATTAATAATTTGTACGCGCAAGATGTTACTATTATGATATGCGCTATGCTGTGCTCATTGTGTACTCATTGCACACATATAAACAATGATAGGAAAATGCAAGTTGA